TTGAATCCACGGGCCCATGAAACAGGACCACAGGTGCATTTGCTCATCTCTGCTGATGCAGAGAAGACAGAACTGGATTTAAACTAATGGTCGTAATATCAGGCTTAGAAGAAAGATCAATGCATAGTTGTCCAAAAAAACTTTTAAGTAAAATGTTGTAGAAATAAATTATATGTGAGGAAAGTCTAAAACTAGTGACATAGTTTGTGGGGCCCAGTGCAAACTAAAACGCAGAGTCCCTTGTTCACAAAGAGTTGAGAATTTCAGGACAGTGACAGAGAGCGGTGAACACATTATGAAGCCCTTCTGAGCACCGGCCCAGTGCACAGACCTCAGCTGCGGCTGAGTGGGCCCAGGTGAAGTGCTTGGGGCACTTGAGAAGGAGTTCCTGGGAGCCCTGCACATGGCCACTTGAACTTCCCTTGCACCTGCTGCTGGTCAGAGAACCCCTGCCCCTCTGTGGGTTCAAGGCTGGGAAGCAGGCTGATCCCTGCCAGGACTTTGAGCCACATCCTGAAGGATCAGGGTATTTCTGCCTCAAAGGACCCCCCCCCCCCCCAGTGAATGCTCCCACTTTCTCCTTATTCTGTTGAGAGAAGATACAGCAACCTTCCATCCCACACGAGCCTGGAAAATCACAGCCGTGTCTCAGCAAGCGGCCGGGGCTCCCCACAGGTGCAGACCGCCAGACCAGCCAGAGCTAGAACTGGACCCGAGGGGAGTCCTGCTCAGGGCAGCATTCGTGCCAGTCTTCATTCATTCACTCAAGGGATGTAGCCTCCCCGGGGAGAGGACCCCCACAGCCACAGAGCCGCCCCTCCCCCCGCAGCACGGGGCCCTCCTCCGGTGGGGGTGGGGGTGACTGTCCTGAGGCCAGGACACGGCTTCACTGACAGGGCGGCTCCCACAGGGGAGGAAGGGCTCTTGTGCATTGACGGTCCACAAAAATCAGGACTGGCCCTCGCCCCTCAAATACTGTCTCCTCCTGCCTCCCCGAGGCCTGTGCCTAAGTGCAGTAGGGAAACACCAGACCTCCTTGGTGAACGCCATTAAAAAACAAATAACAGCGTCATTAAAATACCCAACCGCAGACTTCTGTGTATATGTGCGGGTGATTGTAGGTGTGTGTCATACCCGCACCTGCAGACACTTGCAGCACCTGGGAGGGTCCCCCGGCACCGCGTGGGTGGACGTCAGGGATGCTGCTAAGCAGAGCCAGCCAGCCCGAGGAGGGAAGGCTGGAGCAACGGAGAATTCTCCAGAACTGAGGGGAGCAGATGCCTATGGGCTTTGCAGAGCCACGCGCCCTCCCCTCCGTGAGGCGTCCCCCCCGTGTATCCGCAGACCCCTCTCCTCTGCACGGAAACTCAAAAGCCAGAGCCTCGTGGGGAACAGTGAGCCCGGCCTGTCAAAGCAAAGGATGAAACAGGGCCTCACCAGGTGGAAGCCGGGCAGCCCTGGACTTGGACTCGGGGAGAACGTCCCCGCGAGCGACGCGGACATCGCGGGGCCGTGAAAGGGGCAGAGTTTTTGTCAGACCTGCCTGTTCTTACCAGCCCTTCAGAGGCAGCGTCTGCACCCCAGTCACCGCCACCAGGTCTTTCGGGGTCACGCCCCTCACTGCTTTGCTCTGAAGACTGAACTCACTGCCCGCCCCCCCGCCCCCACCGCCGAAGCAACAGCGAGTGCCTCCCTGCCGCTGGCCACGGTCACGGACACAGAGGCAGCCCTCAGCTGGGCACCCAGCTGGCGCCCAGCTGAGGGCTGCGGGGGCCGTGTCAGCGGGGGTGAGGGGGGGTGGCCAAGTGGGCCAAGATAAACCCGGGGCCCATGTGTCGGGAGAACTGGCACATCCATGTATCAAGGCATCCAGTGGGCACCGTGCTCTTCTGCACATTTTCCTTCGGATCTCTTGTTGGAGCAGTCTTTTCTCTGGCGGAGGGTTTAATCTCGTTACCTTCACCCCCGCCAACCTATGGCCGTGCCTGCTCGTCTGGGCGGACGACACCCTCCAAGTGCACCCAGCCGCCTCCGGGGAGGCCCCCAAGCAATCGAATTGAGAGGTGTTTTCACAGACAGACAGAGTTTTGTTCTGCATGGATATGAAAGGATAGAATTAATAGTCCGAGCTCCAACCTGGAGGCCAAACCCAGCCCAGCCCAGCTCTGGCCCCATCCCTTCTCCCTCTTGCCCTCTTGGTTCTCAGTGGCCTTGACCTCCTGGGAGCCAGGGAGACAGCTCACCCCCAGGGCACCCCTGTCCGTGCCCCTCGGGCAGGACCCCTGCGCGTGGTGCACCCAGGCCAGCTAGGATTTCTGGGTTGCTGGCTCCTCCTGCCGTCCTCAGGGCACCAGGTCAGCCCCAGCCCGTCGCTGGGAGAGTGAACACGACCCCTGTCTGCCTGTGTGCAGGGAACCAAAGGCCCTCCCCCGCTGCAATGGCACGCCCTGACAAGGACTGCAGTTGCCCTGATATCCACCACGAGTGACTCACCAGGCCTGGGTCAAACCGTGACTGGGGGCAGCCCCCCGTGCAGACACACCACTTCTCATTGACCCAGCATGTATTTGCTGAGCGGGGGCTCCGGGCTGGGCTGGGCTGGGCTGGAACACAGGGTCTGGCCCACAAGAGGCCCTGAACTTGCCCCATGCCGAGGGCCGTGATGCTTCGGCTTCCTGCCTGGGCACGGGGTGCTTGGCCCTCGACGTCGTGAAGCTTGCTCCCGTCCAATTTTGTTGGGGTGCGGGGAGGACCAGGGAAGGGTCCTGATCTCCGTGCCACAGCCCCCCAGGTGGGATGCAGTCCGGGCTCCTAAGCCCTGCACCCCAGGCCCTGCGAACGCCCGCCACCTCCTTCCCCGTGTCTGCCGCTCGCCTTTCTCCCCACGTCCAAGCTCCATGCCGCAGCCCACTCCCCACGTGGGCCTCGGTGGCTGCCGGGCCAGGTATCCGGGCACCGGGCACAGCCCAGCTTTCTCTCTTGCGATCAGGAGGTTGGGGGTCCAGGATCAGGTGTCATGGGTGGGTTCCTCCAGGGGCCTCCCTCCTGAGCATGTAGATGTGGTCCTCCCCCCTGTCCTCACATGGTCTTCCTCTGTGTCCCCATCTCCTCCTCTTGTGAGGACCCCAGCCCTATTGGATCAGGGCCACTCCATGACCCCATTAACATGATCACCTCCTTAAAGATTCTGTCTCCAAGCGCGGTCCCTTTCTGAGGGGCTGGGGGTCACGACTCCAACACGTGAATCTGGGGGGGGACACAATTCCGCCCAGAAGTGCAGAAAACTATCCCAGGCCACTGTCGGTCTTGAGTTGGCTCCTGGTTCTCGGTGGGTTCCATCCCGCAGCCCCCACCCCCTGTCACCTGTGCCTGTGATTGTCCCGCAGGGAAGGAGGGAGCAGACCACACCTGCTCCCAGCCACAGCCTCCTCCGCACACATCCCATTGGCCAGAGCTGCTCCCGTTCCACACCTCCTTCCAGGGGCGGGGGGGGGGGCGTCCGTGCCCTGGGGGGCCAAGGGGAACGGCACCCCGAGAGCAGCCACAGGCTCAGTACGTCCCCTGTTGTTTCCTCCCCTCCCCCTCCTCCCCTGCTGCCCAGCAACCTCAGCCAGGATGGGAGACCGATGGGCTTGTGGTCAGATGAGGATGTGAGGACACAGGAAGGGCAGGGACCGAGCAGGACCTCAGAGGCCAAGCTGACACACGTGTGTGGGTCTGGCACCCCTGCCGTGCTGGTGCCTCAAACATGGCCTCACGGGGCAGGTGCTCAGGAAGTGGGCGGAACACGAATGAACAGCGGCATATTGCTTATCCAGCTTTAGAAACCGCAGTTAGAAAGATCCTGCATGTGGTAGCACATTTAAGAAATTGACTTCATTGAAAGGCAAAGAGTTCTATGAAAGGATGTGTAAAACCCAGCAAAAAATGCCAGTTAATGCGGTGCTTGTGCTCTGGAAATTGGGAAGCACCAAGAAATAGTCACAAAACCACCGAGAGCCACGTTTGAAACAGAATATAGGAGGCGCCTGGGGGCTCAGTGGGGTGAGCGTCCGACTTCGGCTCAGGTCATGATCTCGCGGTCCGTGGGTTCGAGCCCCGCGTCGGGCTCTGTGCTGACAGCTCAGAGCCTGGAGCCCGCTTCGGATTCTGTCTTCCTCTCTCTCTGCCCCTCCCCTGCTCGTGCTCGGTCTCTCTCTGTCTCTCCCAAAAATAAATAAATATTTTTAAAAAATTTTTTAAAAAAGGTGATGGACACCTGGGTGGCTAAGTCAGTTAAGCATCCGACTTCGGCTCAGGTCATGATCTCGCAGTTGATGAGTTTGAGCCCTGCATCAGGCTCTGTGCTGACAGCTCAGAGCCTGGAGCCTGCTTTGGATTCTGTGTCTCCCTCTCTGTCTGCCCCTCCCCTGCTCATGCTTTCTCTCCATATAGATATAGATATAGATATAGACATAGACATATATATGTATCAAAATAAACATTAAAAGAAAAAAGAACAGCACACAAGAACGAATACCCCAGATGTTGATATCTAATCACAGAAAATTCCCACCCCTGTGATGGGTGAGACAGGAGAATGTGCTTTGGGACACATAATGTCAGCTTCTGGTCCTGGGCTTTCAGTCTTCACAAGCTCATATCAGGCGGTGCTCAGCGCACCCTCCCAAGTGCTGGGTGCTGTGGCTATAACAAGGGGAACGGGCGGCAGGACCTTACAAGTCCCCCGTAATGACAGATGAGCTCAGAGCCGCCACAGCTCTCAGTAGGTGCTTCCCACTCCTGTGTCTGACTCTGGGGTGTTTTCCAGAACCTCGATGGGATCGTGTGGTACGGCTGGGTGCCGGCTTATTTAGGCGTCTTCGAGGCTGGCCAGAGGCAGCGTTAGGAGTCCTGATTCCCTCGGCAGCACTAGAATTGGGCGGCTTCCTGTGGCGCGGTTGGCCCTGACCCGTTCCACTAAGGCGGTCATGGCACAAAGGTGTGTGCAGTTGGGACCCCCCGCCAGCCCTCCCCGGCGCTGAGGCTCGGCACACCGGCTCGGCACACCCTCAGGTTTCTCCCGCAATGTGTTCATCACAGACTGTCAAAAGCGGAAGGATGGGTGGGAGGACAAATTTGACGGTTCCCCGTTGCCGCCTAAAATAGCGTATTCACCGCTATTTTTCCCGTGTGCCCAGAAGGTGTCTCAGGGAAACTTAATGTCTTTCCCGCCCTCTCCAGAAAATAATTAAACACTGCAGTCATCATGAATTCTGTGTGTGTTTGCTCAGGTTATTAATCAAAATGTGGAATTCTCCATCATCTGCTGCCATAGCAGTGGAGTCGATACCTCGTGCAAGTGAGTTGACGTGCACTGAATGTGCATCAATGGAGCACTGGGAGGAAAGCCGGGCCTGAGAGGCCACCGCTCAGACCAGCGACCGAGCCGTCGGGGACTCACCAGCATCGGAGGGTCCTGGCCGCCATCGCTCTCCGCTGTTTCTTCGCTTGCGTGCCCCCGTCTGGGGTGCGTTCCTCTTTGCAGTGCATGTACTGCCTACTTTTTGTATCTTTATTTATTTTCATTTTTATTTTTCTGAGAGAGAGAGTGTGTGTATGCGTGTGAACAAGAGAGGGGCAGAGAGAGAGAGAGAGGGAGAGAGGATCCCAAGCAGGCTCCATGCTGTCAGCACAGAGCCTGACTCGGGGCTCGATCCCACAAACGATGAGATCATGACCTGAGCCAAAGTCAAGAGTAGGACACTCCGTCGACCGGCCACCCAGGTGCCCCCAGTTTTGTATCTTTAAAAAACTCCATAAAGCACTGAAAAGTGCCAGTGACCTAGTAAACACTGGGGTGGCCGCCATCCAGAATCAGCAGACGTTAATAGACTTCTACGGAAAGAAGATCACTACACCATAACTGACATCTCCTTCTTTACCAGAAGCAACACTTTTACCTGTGGCATCTCTCCATCCGTGTTTTTGTACCTTCTCTGCTCTCCATGACGTACGGTACAGAAGCCATGCTAAATTTTGCACAGACTTATCTAAAAAGTGTGTGAATGGGACCGTGCCGCGTCCTACTAGAAGGGGACCTGTTTTACGTAATATTGTTTGGAGATCTCTCTTCGTTGGCACGTAGTAACCCAGTGCCCTTTAGCCGCTGCCCACCCACCAACATGCCACAGGACACTCCCCATTCTCCCGGGGAGGTGGGGTGCAGGGCCGTGGCTGCTTCTCCCCAGTTTCCCACCTCCGCTCCCCTGCAGGGCGCCTGGCGAGGGTGCCCCTTAGATCAGGTGTGGCCACGCTGCTCGCTTTGGGTGATGGAATCTGAGTGGCAATGGTGTCTACCACCAAATGTCAAAACATCCAGCCGCCCACGTGAGACCATTCGGGGCCCTTTCCCATATGGCAATTCATCAACTCAAAGCAGCTTGGGACGCCGAGCCAACACCCACAGGGCAGCCGGTCGGAGGGCTGCCCCAGCTGGAAATGGAATCGTTTGGGGTTGAGTTCCTGAGGTTTGTGGGCTGGTTGTTAGTGCGGCAAAATACACCCCGTCCTGACGGACAGAAGCCGGTTCTGACTCTGTGTCATTACGAACAGTGCGGTGACGCAGAGCATCACGTGTGACTCTGGAAGAACCCGGATTTGCGCATCAGAGGGCAGTTGTGTTTTTAATTCCCTTGCTGTCGCTCGCTTACTCTCCAGAAAGGCCGTTCCAGCCTGCCGTCCCAGCCGTGGTGGGAGAGTCCTTCCCTCCCCCCCAGCGCTTTTGAGACGTTGCACATTTGCCAGACGGAGGAGCGTGAAGTTAATTATCTCATTGCTTTAATTTGCAGTAGGTACCCTCTTTACGATACAGAGTTAGTTGTGAGGCTCCAAAGTATTATTTTCCATGATCATGCAAGTAACAATCCTTTTCATGGAAAATTCATATTTTGCACAATATTGGGGAATTTCCCATGTTGGCATAAGAGGAAAAAAAGCCCTCACCAACCGCCAACCGTGTGGATTTTTGGAAACACATGAGGCGTATTATGTAAGCACAACATCTTAAAAGGGCTTTTCTGTTCCTTTTGGTAAACAGCTCTGGCATCAGGAAGGGTGTGCACTGGGGGTTCCAGGACACTCATCAGCACCTGGCAGGGGCCCCTCGGATGCTTCTGACGGACTCCAGAAACCATCTTCCAGGTGCCCGTGATTTGGAGAAGCGACAGTTTCTTTTGTTAGTAAAAGTTTGGTCGAGCAATAAAACTGTTGCTAAATTCGCAAATGTCACTTAGCTCTGCTAATTTCTCAGCCATAATAGGTTTCGTTTGTCACTTACGACATTGCCAAACTGAGCAATATTTTCTTTCTAACTTTGGTTATAAGAATGTGTCAAAAGCAAAACGCGGATGGCGCACCTGGGCGTGTTGGTGCTGAGACGTGACGTGGTGTGGCCGTGGTCGGGTGTGGTCACACTAGAGGGGCTGAGGTGTCCACTCCCAGACCGCAGCTGTGGCCCCCCTCCTGAATGGTGCCCGTTACACGTGACTCTGCAAGGGTAAATGGGCCTTTTGTAATGTTTATTTGACAGGGTTGGTACCTTCCTTGCCCTAACGCTGCCCGGGGGGCGGGGCGGGGGGGGGGGGGCGACTAGAAATCTGTTTATCTGGCTGCAGCTGCTGACGGAACAGCTTTCCAGTAACCTTCACCCCCTCGGCGTTCTGGAAGGTGCTCTGGAAGGTGCTGAGATTCTGACCTGGGTTCTTTGTGTCACCAGCAAGAAGCCGTTTCAGCTGAGCTAAAAGGAATGTGGCAGGTGCCACGTCGGCAAGGTGGCCTCTTCCTCCAAGACCCACAGCTGGCCTGCGTCTCTGCAGACGGTGGGACCTCCCCCCGGGGGGACGCTGCCCCGTGTCCCCAGCAGAGAGGGACCCAGCCCCAGGTGTCCATAGCCCCCCAGAAGAGAAAGGCTGCTATTGGCCGGCCTGCTGGGACAGGGGGCGTGTGCCGCCTTCTGCTGTGGTCCCCGTGAGCACTCTGCCACCGTCTGGGAAACAGGGCATCGGATCCCCGCAGGGAAGCGTGTGGGATGCGTGTCCATCCAGGCAGGAGGTGTGATGGGCGGCACAGTGTCTCTCTGTGTTCATGGTGCTGGGACTCACAGGACTCGGTGGGGACAGGCTGGCCCTGGGACCCCAGACTGCAGAGCTCCTCTCGGCCAGTACCCGACCGAACTCTGACCGGTTCTGGGCAGATGACAGTGTGGGAACGTTTTGGACGCTGGAGTGCAGCCTGGGTGGTTGAGGCGTGGGCCATGGGCCGTCTTCCCTACTCCCCGACAGCTCACCCGCGGGAGCTGGTCAGTCTCCCTGCTCCTGAGGAAGGAGAGTTTTTATTAATTATAAAACCGAACTTCACATTTAGGGAAGGACTTAGTACTGGGATCTTGGAATTTGGCAAATACGCTCGCTGGGTAAAGTCACGTTTACGTGAAGAAGGAATTAAACCTGCAGGTGAGCGAGGCGGGGCCCTTAGGAAATGATTTGTGCGTGGGTGGGCTTGGGGGACACGGGGCCCCCGCCTCTGAGGGCCCGTCCTGGCGGGCGGCACCCGGGGCCACCAGGTGGAAGGCCCCGCCCCCGCGAGCCTCACACTTTGCCGACCACCCTGGGGACAAACGCAGCCTTTCTGAAAGGCCAAGCAGTTCTCCCTTAAGTTATGTTGAAAATTACCTTTAAAATGCGAAAAGTGAGGCCGTGTCCAAAAAGTGTACATTTGGGAAGTGGCGGTAAATTCCGCGAAAGGCCAATGAACATTTCAGAACACTGCCGGAAGTGTCCTAAACTGTGACAGCCGGTCCCAGCGAAGTGTCGTCTCGCCTCGGGGTCACAGGCGTTGGTCTGTCACGGGCACAGCACGGGAGGGATGACGACCACCACGCAGACTCCCCACCCCGGCTTCCTGGGGCCACGCTTTCCCCCGCCCCCGCTTTCCGGAAAGACCCAGCTGGCGACCAGGGTTTGCTTTGCGCAGTCACCGTGCGAACTCCTTTCCCATCAGGCCTCACTGCCCAGATGCCAGAGCCCTCGGCCTCCCAGTGCCGCCGGCACATGTGACCTGCCGCGTGTGCAGCGTTTTCCAGTCTCGGCCGGTACCCGCTCACCGGTTCCGTAGAGGGCTCCGGGTCCCCTCCTTTCGTGGGTGATGTTTCCCACTGGAGTCTAATGGGCGGCGGTGTGTTCCTCTTGGCTCCAAGAGCGAGGACGCCAACTGTGTGCAAGCCGAGCTGGGGGAGCGTTTGCGTGCCGCCTGGAGACCCGTCCCGGACGTGACAAGTCGGCCTGTTGAGAAGACTGAAACTCCGATGATGAATCCACCACAGGACCCAGGCCTTTCCTCTCCGGAGGAGGCGCCCCTGCAGGAAGAGGTGCCACGGGAGGGCTGGCCGGACATCCCTCAGGGAGCACTCGGGGGCCGGAGAGGCGCCCCGAAGCTCAGAGCCGGGCGTTTCCCAGTCCCGGCTCAGGGCACACGGGGCGGGTGGGGCGGGTCTGGGGGACGGCAGACGGGCACCTGCTGCAATGCTGCTGGGAAACCCGCTGTGCGGGGGGGCCCCCCCCCCCCACATCCTAGCTTCCCCGTGTCGTCATTTACTGTTTCGTGGATTCACTGCACGGACACCTGTGGGAGGGCGTCTCCGAGGCTCCTGGCCACAGACATGTCAGGACAGACGTGCTCGCCGCCCCAAGCCCTGACCCTGCCAGGGTAGGTGAGGGACGCCCCAGATCCTGAACCCCCAGCGCCGACAGCCCGAATTCTGTTAGTTCCTCGCATGCTGCATGTACCCAGTGGACATGGTGTGGCTGTGTGTGTCAGCCGTGGGGCCTGGGGTTGGACAGCCCCTCTGTGTCTGCGTCCTGGGGCTGCCGTCGCAGATGAAGAGGCTGCTGGAGGTGAGAGGAGCACCCCAGCTCACGCGCCTGCAGACGGCAACGGCGGCCGCCCTTCGCGGAGCCTGTGGCCGGGCCCACGCGGCCAGGTGAGCAGCGAGAACCGTATCACAGGCTGATGGCAGTGGCCGTGGAGGGAAGTTGTTGGAGTGTGGCTGGGGGGCTGTGTCAGCGCTGGCAGAGTGGCGTCTCTGGGCCGCTCGGGGAAGATGCAGGACACAGGACGAAGGCTTTGAATGCAGCTTGTGGATGAATTGCATCTGCAAACGAGACTGGCAGGAGACCGGCCAGACTGCGGTTAACAGCTGGGCTTTGGCGGGGTGAGGGGCCCCGGGCCCGACGCTGGCATCCAGAAACCGTGGCCCCTCGAAGGTCACACTCAGCTCTCCTGGGTAACTTGTTGCTTGGCTGGACTTCAGACGCAGGGGGGCCGACACGAGGGGCACCGGGCACTGCCCCCTCCCTCCCTGACAAGACAGGATGAGCCCAGAGGGGGCCCAGTGGGAACAAAGAGCATCCAGTTTGCGTCTCTCCTGTCTCAGCCCCTTGCGGATGCTTACGGGCCGGTCTGCTGACCTGTGGGTTTCCCTTGTTTTGTTTGTCTGGTTTGCTGGCCAGAAAATGGTGGTCGGACCCGAAGGCCCCCACCCGGATTTGCACCTGGTACCCGGCTGGGATTGGATGGGCTCCTCTCCCCGACGTGGCCGGCGTGGGGAGGGGACCCAGATCAGCTTTGTTCTGGCCAGGTTCACAGACCGTTTGTTTTGTGGAAAAGTCGTATTTTCTGAGGAGGCCAGGTCGGATCTCCCATGCACTTGTAAAGTTAGAAAATGGTGGAGACAGGTGTGCACTGGGTGGACGGCCAGAGGTATGGCGTGAGGACTGGGTGTGGGGGGCTCCTGGAGGGCCACAGGCCGAGGCTCCGGGCTGAGGAGGAGAAACGGTACATAAATCACCAGGAGACCCCAGGAGAGGGGCGAAGGTGTTTGCCTAAGATGTTGACATCATTCCCACCCCGTCACCTGCTCTAGGATGTTTTCAAATTTAATTTTTTTTAACCGCCGGGCCAACTTCTTGGGGCATCATTTTATTCGGACTGGTTCCATTTTAGTGGCTTGAAATGTCTATTAAAAAAATTAAAGCATGAATACATAAATTTAAATTCTTAGGGTGGAAAAAAATAAATTCTTACGGTATAGCAAATAAATTGCGCCTGTTTTTAAGCAATTCAAAGGGCAGACTTAGTGCCTTCTGATTATGCAGCCCGACTGCAAGATTTACCCCATGAAGCCTGTTCTGGGGAGAAGCATCCCAATGAGGAGGTGGTGAGGGGAGCCACTGGCAGGTGGTTGGAATATCATCCTCAACCTGGCGGGAAGAGATGGCTCTTTGGTAAGAGCACGGGGCTGAAACCTCGGGAGGGTGCTGCGTGCCTCGTTTCGTGGGGTCACAATGGCAGCATGGAGATTTGGGGGCCAGAGCGAGGCCCACAGATAGGGTCCAGGCAGCATCCTTGGTTATGCCGGATCCCGACTCTGCAGAGACACCTCAGCTCAGAGATGAGCTCTGTCCTTCCCTGCTTTCCAGCGTCCCGATGGGAAGTCGTTTCCCTTCCGTCTTGAAAAACACGTTTGGGACCCCAAGGCTGAGCCAATGGGCAGGGCCCCTCCCACCTGTCCCATCACAAATGCCCCACCACAGGCAGGGGATCTCCAGCCTTGGGTAGCTGGAAAGGAGTCAGGAAGGCTCTCTGAAACCACAGGCGTCTTCCTGGCGTCCCTCCAAGAACCAGCTCCCAGCTCAAGGAATGCGCTTTGAAAACCTTTGGAAATGCAAACGTGGGCAATTCTTTTTCAAAAATGCTACAGTGCTTTGAAGGAAGTGGGGGTGGGGGGGTGCAGCAGGCTCCCAGGGAGACACCGACTGCAGCTTGATTTCTTCCCAAACTTATAAATCCAGAACTTCCATCGTGTATTTTAAGGCAGGCTTTTGATTCCCGCCTTCGTCCTTCTCACTGGAAAGACGTCGTTCTCGTCCCTGGCATCTGGATGGTGTTAGGGGGACACGGAGGGCGCACATGGGTCTCTCTTGGTTCACCGAGGACCTTCAAATCAGGGCCTTTCTGCGTATTTGCTGCGTGATTCTGGGCGGGTAGCCTAGCCTGTCTGAGCCCCGGCCCCTCATCTGTAACAAGCGCCCCTTCCTCGGAGGCTGACGCGCTCAGGCTCCGGAGGGGACGTTCTCAAGCGCCATCCACGTCCTGCTTGCTCCACAGCGTCGCTGGCACTTGGTGTCACCTCCCTTTCCGTTGTAACCACGGTGGCGGAGACTGAATTTTTC